TCTATCGTTCTGTAAAAAAAGAATTTTTTTTTGATCGTCTTAAAAGACAATAAGGTATCTCCGACATTACTTTTGGCTAACCCTAAGTATTAATATACAGAATCAAAAACAATATTAATTAATTTGATTTTTATTTAGTAGGCTTATTAAAGGTTTCTTTTCTATTTCTACATGCAAAAATATATTCGATGATTTTATTGAAGGACAAATAAAAAAAACAGCTTTCAGTGCAATCTCTAGAGGATTGAAATGTGGAACATGATGGAGTCAATTTAACCATTATGGAGAGACCTCGTTATGCCGATCACCTTTGGCTGTCGGACACAGACCAGCACATCGAAAATTCTTTTTTGGTAGAAGACATTTGTCTGTTTCTGATGAAGAGTATCGATTTTGGAGCTCAGCGATGCCAAAAACTACTGGGAATCAGAACTGGAATCATTTATCTAATGTTGAACACTAAGCAACTGATATTAGTTTTTTCATAAATTTCGAAATAGTTCATTCATGTCTTTCTTTAAAAAAAAACAATGTCTGCAAAATATCCATATGAAACTACACATCCTATAAATGGACTCTAGAAAATGTCTTGGTTATTGCTGTAGTTGTATTGATGTAGTGTTCTTGATTGTAATGCGAAATTGTGTATAATAAATTTTTACATATTGATGAGATTAGCACACAAAAATAAAAAAGAAACGCTAAGTTCAAAAATAATAAATGAATATTCATTCCTTGTATAATTATAATAGAATAACTTATTTATTTAGTATTTTACATCACGAATAAAATTCTATGTAGTGAATGGATGAAAAATTTGGCTGTGCAGAAATCATAAAAGCATAAAGAAACATAGAAGACATGAATGGTCGTTAAAAATTTTTGGTTTCAATCGTTCCTATGCTAATTCCATTATTTGCTTTTCACATTTCTGATTTCAATTTTTTTTGAAATCGCCAGGCTCTAAAAGTTTTTAGAAAACTTGTTTATGTAGAGAACTAATATATTCAATAAAACAAATACCCAGTTTTCCCAAAGATTGTTTCATATATATACAATTTAGCTTCTTTTTGAGGAATGAATTTAATTATTACTGAATAAATAATAATGCATTCCTTTCTTTGTTTCAGGAAAAAGTTTCATATATTGAATAAATTCTGTTCGTTTTTTCTTTGTAAATAAGATCATGTGCAATGATAGGAATGAATACTAAGTCAATATGAGTAATAAACCCTTGAATGTCAAGAGGGATTTCTTTTTAGTCACGAAAAAATAAAAAAATAGAAATAAAAGAAAAACATTCATAGTGATGCTTATTTTCTCGACTGAAGGGAGGGTCGTACCAAAAAAAATCGTTTGTTTGTATGTTTGCAAGCACATTTCTAGTTACGTGTTCGCATATATTGATGTAATTTATGAAGTTTGATCATAGATAATTGAAGTTGAGGATTCCAAATCAATAAACATTTTTTCGAAATTTTGAGTTCGAACTTTTTTGGTCAGATAAAAGGTTGTATATGAAAAAAATTGTTTTCTTTTCTTGATTGAAAGAAGGGTCAGACGAAATAAAATGAATTTGTTTGCTTACTTGTAGGGTGTGGGTGTGAATATGTTTGTCATTATTTTAATTCATTTTTCCAAATTTAACATTCTTCTTATAATAATCATGGAATTGATTAGCAAATAAGCCTGTTTTAAGTATCCAAGTCATCTACAGTAGATCTTACGCACTATTATCTATATTAATCAACTCACCAACAAGTATATTCATAATGTTTCAAAATTATAACTTGATCAATTTTGAAATAAAAAAAAAACACTAGAAAGTCTGATGATTGTATTTCTCGATTGCTAATGTTTGTAATGGGGGAAGGGAAGTCGTAAAACGATGATTTAACACTTACACTAACTATGTTCTTAGGAAATGTATGTCAACTTCACAAAAATGTATTTCAATCAACAGGATAATCGAGAAGAAATTTCAAATGTACTAAGAGACAATTTTTTGTCGGATATGACTACTGTGTGGATGTATGCCTAAGTTTGTAGTTGTTGATGTAGGTATTTTGTTTTTCGTTACCACCCACATCCTATCTAAGATATTATCTTCTCATTAAAAATGTCTGTTGAATAGCAAATGTTGGTTTTTATTACAATGGTTCTTCTCCATAATGACTTTGACCAATTTATTTGAATATTTTAGTAGAAAGCTTTTATTAAATGAGAAATCTTTTTCGAAAGATTTAGATCTGCAGTACTAAAACTTGAGTTCAGTATCTCAGGGTGTAATGATTACTAAGATCTTGACTTTGTGTGATGAGCTTTGCTGGTAATAAAGTCAACATTTGAGTCTATCTTTAGTACTAAAGCAATAGTAACAGCTTGTGGAATAACAAAATGATAACCAAAAATTTGTGAATACATATTTTTGATGAATATGTATTTCATGAGAGAAAGAAGGTGTGTAAATCGAAGCTCCGATACATGTGAATCGATGAAACGCAGACTAATACTTATGATCAGAGTGTATTGTTGCATGCATATATCAGCTTAATATGATTAGGAACAGTAGCACTTTAACAGGTAAGGAAGGGGAAAAAGAAAGGTAGCTATACTTATTAAGCTCTGTACACATATGTAGATGAGAGTTTTTAGAGATCTGTGTTTTTTAAGATTCATTGGATAATTTCTAATCATATAATTTATACTTCCATAGCATATAACATATTCTAACCATCTCAGAAGAAAACCATAGTTCAGAAAAGTTAACTCTTCACTCTCATTCGTTCATTTTTTTTTTCTTAAAATCAACTCAGAAATTCATAATCAAAGATAAAATGCTTTCAAAAGAGACGGTCTGAAAGTAACTGCATTTCAAAGAGCAAGTATTGTGTGAGTGACTACCCGTGAATTAATTGACGTGTTGCTCAAGAAAATTGTGGTGTATAGTCTAGAAGACAATGGTAGAATGAAGTAGAAGGGTATGCCGAAGTTTGCGATAGTTCTTAGCACAAGAAAATATGATAGTTGAGCGATATTATGAAACGCTAGTATAATGATCATTTCTTTGATGCAAATTTTTCGAGCAGCTTAAACATGTCATCTGCATACGAGTTTGAAATCATTTGCAATAAAAGCAATTGATTTTATGCTAATGAGTCCTATGAAGATGGGATTCTGAATGAATAACATAAAGAAAATATGTGATGTATTCATCTAGAATGGTATTATCAAGCTATCAAAGTCACAGCAATATTTCAGTAATCAAGCTGTTCTATCAATAATATAAAGAGCTGTAAGAAAGTTACTCTTCAAAGAGCTAACAAAAGTTGTTCTTTGCTGTATTAAAACTTTGTTTATTGGAATTTTCGAGTATTTGTATGGCAAAGCAAAAACAAATTAGCTTTATAATGCGTTATTTTTTTTTGAAGAGTATATTATATACAAAAAAAATTAAATTATTATAGTATGGATACATTAGGGTCTTCTTGAGTGTCGATATTTTGCTGCCTTAGCAAATAAAACATTTGCAATTAACTTATGACTTCAAAATGTGACTCCATGTTAAATAATCATGTTTGTTTTTCTTTCATTTGCTATTACTTCTTCAATTAAAGACGAAATCAAATTTAAAAAAAAACAGACGAATTCATATAAATATCCATTGCATATATATATATGTCTAGGTTTTTTTCTTTTCTATCTAATAATTGGATTGATTTTATAAATCCCAGAATAGTTCACTTTTTTGAGTTGCCTCTACTGACCTGTATAGGCATCAACAATGCAACAATCCAATGTAAGTCGTGTGTATACATTACGCTCGCCTTCAGTGATCAATATGACTTGGTACGACGATAATGATGATAGAAACAAATCTGCTTATGTTTATCGAAGGTAAGAAAGATATTAGAATATACTTTCCCGAAGTAACCAAAGTAAAAAAAATATATGATTGCATACGCATCCAAAAAAGTTTATCCAACTACTTCTAAATGATGTAGTCTAAGTAAATTACTTAAATAAAAAACTAAATGCAATTAGAAAATATATTTAGGCTTCAGAAGTTCTCTAGATAATAGTTATTATATAGTAGAGCGGCTTTTAGGAATATGAAATGCAAGAAATTTTTTATTCCATATATGAAAACTTCGTTCCCTTCTTGATTTTCAATGTCTCTGTTTATTATACAAGTTTGCCTTTCGCTATCCATAAAATACTAATTTTACAGAATTCCATCGGAACAAAACTGTTCTGAAAGTTTTCTCTCTTAGTTGAAACAAAAATGTATCATTTTATTGTACGTTTTAAAGATGTTGTTGTATGGCCGGACGGTGCACAAAATGCATTCTAAGTGCTTTTCTTTGCCTATTGGTACTTGGAGTGGTATTGGGCATTGGCCTCGGATTGTACTTCGGTAGAGTTCTAAGTAATGAAACGACATCAACAACGTCAACAACGTCAACGACCTCAACAACTTCAACGACATCAACATCGACGACATTCACAACGTCGACAACATCCACGACTTCAATGGCTACTACTTAGGGCATACTTTGGCCTCCGATTGTGGTTTTTTAAAAATATAGGAATCCTTAGAAGATCAAGTTTGTCTAAAATATAGAATTTTCGATAAAGAATGACAAAAATACAGGATTTTTTACAGATCGTTTCTGTTCAATTGTTTTGGTGCTTTTTAACTTCTCTGCTCGAAAATCGTTTAATGAAACTGTTATAAACAGCTCAACCATAACCAAGATTCTTATATAATCTCTTTCTACTTAAATAAGTCGCTAATTCGAGGATCACTATAAAGTTTAATTATAAAACTTTTTCACAAATCAATAAATAACAATAAAGTAGATCATAAACTTTGAAAAAATAAATACATGAAAAAAACAAATACTATTTCTCATAATTAAGTTTGACTTATAAAAATAAAACTTGATTATAAATAGACAAAACACTTGAATAATAATCATTAAGTGTTATCTATCAAGTCGATTATATTATGTTGATTCTGTTGGATGGATTTCAGCTTCTTGTTGATTGATTGTTCATGAAGAAAAGCATCTTTTCTTTTTAATCGAAGTTTATCAAGCTCATTTGTAAGTTGTTGCTGTTGTTCATTAACTGATGTTAATTTTT